GTCGTGCGATTTGAATGATTTTATTAGTTATTTATTATTTTTAAATTAAACAAACGACACAAAACTCATTGAAAATCACTCCTCAATAAAATATATTAATTCATATGCGATCCTAAACTAAATTATTTTCATTTAAACTGAATTACATTAAACAAATAGCGAGTATAAAATTTAATCTCAAAATCAATGATTTATTTGGAAGGTTTTGTAAGAGATAAGACCCGGCAATGCGTGTTGCCGTCCGAATGTGTGGCCCCACCCGTGCGTCAGGAGAGACGTCTTCCCCGGTATAGACCAAAGACCACGACATCACTGGAGACGACGACGACGACCACCGCTATACCAGCGCCGGGAAAGTGCGGCCGTAATGAACACTACAGTAAGTGCGGCTCGACATGCAATCAGACCTGCGATACGACACACAACACGCTTTGCATAGAGGAGTGTAATGTCGGCTGTTTTTGCGATGAAGGCCTCCATAGAAACCTGGATGGCGTTTGTGTCCCGAAGGATCAGGTATTTGCACATTTGTTTCTCATTCTCTTAATTAAGTCATTGATTGTTTAGTAACTTTTAGATATTATGAATGAATGTTTAATAGTAATTATAAACAGTGTTTGTATTTGTAGTGCACGTGTACTCTATTGGCCGAAGAGTGTGAATGTGAGGACAGTGTGAATGAAGAGTACTATTGGTGTTATAACGAGTGCGGCAGGACTTGCGGCGATTGGAAGCAACCGGCAGATGATAGGTGTGACAAATGCTCCAGAGGTTGCTTCTGCAAAGAGGGTATAATTAAACTTTAAATTATGAGCAAAATGTCATTTGTTTGTAATATTATTTTACCATAATCTAATGATTTAGGACTCGCACGGAACGAAAACGGACAGTGCGTTCAGCCAAAAGAGTGTCAAAACTCATTGGCTGAACCACAATGTAAGGCCAATGAAGTATATAAGGAGTGCGGGTCTGACTGCGGTCGACACTGTCGAGAAATGGCCCACAAATCTGAGGGCCCGTCGCAGTGCTTCTCGTGTAGCGCCGGCTGTTATTGCGATCACGGCTTTATAGCCAGTGTGCTGCCGGCCACACAGGGCCTCAGCGTTACGCACCGGGTTTTGATAGCTGAGCTCTCCCTCACGCCAGAGTTGCTTCTCAAGAGCAAGACACCGTTGCTCACGCCGTGGTTAACGTCAGACCTACGAAAGCCGGACCTTAAGTGCGGTCACGCGTGTAATACCGGTTGCTTTTGTAAGAAACGTTTTTATAGGAATAAACGCGGCGTTTGTGTCTCAAAGGACAGGTGCGATGAAAAGGATTGTCCGGCGGGCGAACAGTTCTCAAATTGTGGTAATCATTGTCGCGATTCGTGCGAACAAACGACGATCAAAAATAGTAAATGTGGCGACACTTGCGAGTGGGGCTGCTTTTGCCGCAAAGGACTCCACAGGAATACCGACGGCGTTTGTGTCGCCAAAGATGAGTGCATTTCTCGGCCCAAGAGTTTCTCGGCTCTGCAAATCAGCGCTATTTGTCCGTTAAATGAAGAGTACACTGAATGCGGCAATTCGTGTCGAGAGCCGTGCGGTGCGACCGCTGTTTGTACGGAGCAGTGCCAGAAGGGCTGCTTCTGTAGTAAAGGTTTGTGTTGAATATTTTAAAAATTTGCTGTTTTTTAAATGTACTTTTAATTGACTGGTGTGTTGTGTCGGGTGACAGGCTTTTTTAGGCACAGGTCCGGTCGATGTGTGTCCAAAGAGCAGTGCCATGAGTTGGACCAATGCATTGAATGCGATTTAAGTGAATACTACTCTAATTGTGGCTCCGATTGTGGCAAACAGTGCTCTGATTTGACAAAAAGTGATAAAAGTATTGATTGTTTGTCGAAGAGTTGCCGAAAGGGGTGTTTTTGTAAATACGGTTTCTTTAGGAATCCATACGGAAAGTGTGTTTCGCGTAATAATTGTACGCAAAATGTATGATTCAAACCATTATTTATATGATTTATTTATTAAAAACAATTTAAATAACATTTTATTTAATTAAAAATACAATTTTACTTTCAAATGTGTCTTACGATTAGTTCAAAATGATTTATAAAAACATTTTTTTATCATTATTTTGTACAAAAATTTTGAGTTTTCAATCACTCGTTGAGTTTGCGATCGGTATTTCTTAATAGTAAAGAATTGTGTTTCGTTTTGTTCATTAACTCTTCAGCCAATGATGTGGCCACTGAACCATCCGTTCAATACATAATCGATGAGAAAAACATGAATACATTTTAGAAATATATTATACAGAATATAAAAATGGTTGTAATTTTATACATTTTTTATGGTGTTCTTCGATTGCATTGATATGAATCTGTGAATCACTCTCACTGTAAGGCGAATACCAGACAATATTCATATCATTTGTGTCGTTAAACTGATCCACATTTCTATGGGTTTTCTTCCGACCGAATCTAAACTTTGAGAAAAATGTGTTTCTCAACCATTTTCGCCATTTGTTTGTCTCATTTGGCGAATTCTGTGTCCGTTTTGGTCTCCAGAATAGTGTCCATCTCTTGCCCTCATTATTGCCACAATTGTGAACCCTTTGAAAGTAAAGCATAACATTTTAAGTATAAAAATGTGTGTAAATTGTAATGAATTTTAGTGAACAGTCATTACGTTCCCATTGAAACACTTCCGACGACTTGTGTGTTGTATTCTGTGTTCAATTCATTCAAATGCGGGTAACTTTTGGAGTACTCTTTTGGTTGACAATCGATGGCTTGTACTGTATTTGCGGTATATTTGACGACTCCATCCACACAACCACTGGACCAGTCTTTCGGCCGCTTATATGTCCGACAGTTATCCTTACGTTTGATTTTAAACTTCGTAAACATTTTAAAAAACACCGGATGTTTGTGGAGACAAAGACCTGAATATTATTAAATTCATTACATTTCACAAATATTTACAGATAGAGAGCGTTAGTGTTATTTTAGCCACAATTCCACAAATTGCAGCTTGTAACTTATTATACCGGATGTTTGTGGAGACAAAGACCTGAATATTATTAAATTCATTACATTTCACAAATATTTACAGATAGAGAGCGTTAGTGTTATTTTAGCCACAATTCCACAAATTGCAGCTTGTAACTTATTAATAAAATTAATATCTATTTATTAATTTTCTAACCTCCACCTCTTTCTTAAAGTTAATTACATACTTATTTTAAATTACATTTACATCATTAAGTTTATTTATATTTACCATAAATTTAATGATAATTTATTAAATTCAATTTCCAAATTATCTATCTCAAAAGTAGACATTTTTATATTTTTTCAAACCTTGCTAAAATTAATTAAATTGACATTTTTAAAAGTTAGTGAAACTACATGTATTCAATTGACTATAATATGAAAACAACATAATAATTATAAATCGAAACTTACAAATGAAAGATTATACCAAATATTATGTTAAACATTGTATTTATTGAAATATATGATATATGGAGTGAAATATTAAATTAGTATGAATTAAATTAAGCGCTAACACAAAACATATGCACTGGAAATGATTTTAATATTTTAAAAATAAAAATTAATTAAATTTATCATTATATACTATGGTAATAAATAATGGCTAATATATTCACTACACAGTAGGCAGTATGTGAATGCACTTAAAAACACACATGATGAAAATTTGGCTTACAATCGTTTTATATTTATTCCTACAAATAGACGGAATATTTTCAGGTGAGTAAAACAAGTGATTAAAAATTAAATCATGATAAATGAATGAACACCATATACGATTTGTGTTTACACTAATAGGCTGTGAATTATTCCGTAACACCGAGTTTTACATCGCGGGCACAGACTGTGGCAAGAAATGCGCGGATAGGCTCAACGCAAAGACACTCTCTTATTGCGATCTGAATGTCCGCAAACCGGGCTGTTATTGCAAAACTGGTTACTTCAGGGACTGGTCGTACAATTGTGTTCGCGGCAATCAGTGCGATAAGGGACGGCCCGCTAAGGGCGGCAAATCCAAGGCTCTCACCACAGTTAAGCCCAAGACATGCAAAGCGAGCGAAATGTTCACCGATTGTGGCAATTATTGTGTTGAAAATTGCAAAAACAGTGCCAAAGAGCTCTGTCCCCTAAATAAGTAATCAAAATCGCTTATTGTATTATTACTGCTTATTATTAATGTAAATTATTAATTATTATTATATAAGATGTGACATTGGCTGCACGTGTACTGACGGTTACAGTAGAAATGATGATGGTTTGCATATTAGTTTTATCACGTATAATTACTAATCGATTATTCTTTTAATACCAATTAGGTGTATGCGTGCCAACCGAGAGTAGTTGTGCGCCCAAACAGTCGGACTCATCACCCAAAGAGTCTAAAGAGTGTCCATTTGGCGAAGCCTATCAAAAGTGCGGCAAACGATGCGCCGAGAGATGCGGTGTAACCAAATGTACAAATGCTGAAAAGTGTTCAGCAGGGTGCTTTTGCAAATCTGGCTATGGTCGCAACATCCAGGGTGTTTGTGTGCCTAAGGTATGATTTAAACACTAAAGAGTGATTACAAGCATATAATTATAATTATTGTTATGATTATATACAGAAAGACTGCTCAAAGGCTGGTTTCTGCGCTAAGAACGAGGACTTTGATATGTGTGGCAACACTTGTGTCGAACTCTGCGATCCGCCCACAGGTTTGTTTCAATAAATGACAACAATTTTTATATCACTTTTGTTTAAATACTAACTGTTGACATGTATTGAATGGTACAGAATGTGCGGCCAAATGCAAACCCGGCTGTTATTGTCGAAAACCGGATTACTTTAGGGATGACGACAAGAAATGCGTAAAAGACGGCCTAAAGTCCAAAACATTTAAAAAAGGGGTTTATTGTCCGGCAATAGATCCCGAAACGACACCCAAACCAAAGCTACAAAGCGAGTGCAAAGCCAACGAAATGTTCAAACCCTGTGGCAGTCTTTGCGGACAGTCTTGCAGTTCACTCAAGAAGGAGTTCGTGTGTCCGCGAAGAAAGATATGCATCAAGTAATTCACTGTATTGTTGTTCAATTGGCACAATGTTTATATGAAATTGGTATTAATTTAGGGGCTGTTTCTGTGTTGAGGGTTACTATCGCAACAAAAAGGGCAAATGTGTGCCCGAAGACGAGTGCGATTCGGCCGACTCTAACAAAAAGCCCAAAAAGTGTAAAAAATACGAGATATATAAAGAGTGCGGCAATCATTGTGCCGATCTTTGTACCCCTCCAGCCGTAAGACACATTACATTGCATATCAATACAGATTTTATACAATATTTGTTAAATTATTTAAACATCCAGATCTGTCCGTACGAATGTCAGTCCGGATGCTTTTGTAAGGATAAATACTTTCGAAATAAGGCCGGAGAATGTGTGCCAGAAATTGGTTGAGTATTATTATTTATCATCATTTATTGCTTTTAACATTTTGCATATCCATTGCATATATAGGATGTCCAGCACTTGTGGATCACGACAATGGAGACCCAGAAAAGTGTAAGAGTCCGCTAAAACGGTCCAAATGTCGCAAGAATTGTATCCAGAGTTGCGCTGAAGTGACGGCGAAGATGATGTGTCCGCGGCGTAAGGCCTGCATCGCTGGCTGTTTTTGCAAAGAGGGTCACGTGAAGGACAAGGATGGCTCGTGTGTACCGGAAGATGAATGCCCGGCGCCATCCAAAGATCCCAAGTCTCCTAAATTGGCCAAAGATGACAACGAAGTGCCCGATTGTGACGACAACGAGGAGTACTATCCGTGCGGTGACTATTGTATAGAGTTGTGTAAACCCCCGGAATCGTGCAAAAGAAAGTGCAAATCCGGCTGTTTTTGCAAACGATATTTCTATCGAAACGACAAAGGAGTTTGTGTTCCCGCAGATGTATGACCACATCTCCTATACATATGTATTATATTTAGAAATATAATATTTCTAATATGTGTTTGAATGATGTGTTGCAGAAATGTCCGAACCGTATGAAAAAGAGTCCTTCGGACGGGAAAGTGGGACCAAATGCCTGCAAGAAGAAGAACGAGGAGTACTCGACGTGCGGTCGACCCAAATGTCACTCATGTCTAGAGCTGTCGAAGCACTTGATGTGTCCGAACCGACAGAGTTGTGAAACGGGATGTTTCTGTAGGGGAGGCTTCTATCGGACGACTGACGGCGATTGCGTTCCCCTTTCGCAATGCATACCAAAAGTACCCGACTTTAAACAGTTGGCCACAACTACCCCGCGATCTAAAGACGCCGACTGCAAGGACAACGAACACTACGAGGATTGCGGCGATCATTGCATAGAGCTCTGCAAACCGCCCGACTCTTGCGACGCCCAATGCGGTACGACTTCATCGCTTGTATTAACACTTTTTGTGCAATGATTTCAATTTATTTTATAAAATACCAGATAAGGGATGCTTTTGTGATAAAGGCTATTACAGAGACAAGGAAAATGGCGATTGTGTGCCCGAAAAGGTTATATATTATAATTATTATTATTCTTAATCCTAATTACAACCATATAATGTTATTTTATTTCCAAATAACTCCAGAGATGTCCCGATTATGAGGAGGAAGTGACAGAAAGTCTAAGAGTGAAGATTAAAATAAAGCTTAAGTGCGAAGACGGAGAGATATACTCGGAGTGCGGCACTCGTTGCGGACAAATGTGTAGCGATTTGTTTAAATCAACCATTTGTCCGAAGAAAGGATTGTGTGTTAGTATTGATTAACATATATTTTACACCAAATATTTAAGTTATTAACCAATTGTAGTACCGATTGTTTAGGTGACCGGTTGTTACTGTCCGGAAGGCTATTATCGTAACAATAAGGGTATTATACGGCGGTTATTGCGGGCTTTAACTATGTTTTACAATACATTTGTGTTAATAATTTAGGCAAATGTGTTGTCCCGAGTCATTGCACAGATGACAGACCGCCGCCGGAGAAGGAGTTGAAGTGCGGCGAACACGAGGCCTACAACAAGTGCGGCGACCGGTGCTCACAGACCTGCGAGACTCAGATGTTGAACATGACGTGCCCTCAAAGCAAGTGCAGCGCCGGCTGTTTCTGCACCGAAGGCTTCTTTAAGGACGCGTTCGGCAATTGTGTGGCTCTTAAAGACTGTCCCGAGACTACCGTTTTGGACAAACCGTTGCCAATGAAGTGCGAGTTAAACGAAGAGTTCAAAGAGTGTGGCAAACGGTGCGGACAGACCTGTCAGGAGTCGTTGGATAACGTCCAGTGCGACCGACAAAGGGCTTGCGTTATCGGCTGCTTCTGTAAGAAAGGACACCTCAGGAACAGTGATGGCAAATGTGTGCTCAAAGAAGTATTCAATCCATTATATATTCATTCATTTTTTCATTATTTACTTATTTTGTGTTTGATTTTTGTTGAAAGGATTGTCCAAAAGATAAACCGAAAGAGAAGTTAGACATAAAGTGCGAACAGAATGAAGAATATTCCAAATGTAACGCCCGGTGCGCTCAGGGGTGCGACGATTTGGGCAGTAAAGTGGTTTGTCCTAAAGAGTTACAATGTGCCTCCGGGTGCTTTTGCAAAGCGGGCTTTTTTCGCAATGAAATGGGTTTGTTTATAGTATTATCTGTATTGACAGCTTTATTGCAATTAGTATATGGTATTCATTATTTTTATTTCATTCACTATGAAGGCGATTGCGTACCGGAGTCCGAGTGCCCCGATGTGGGTCCGCCCACATCTGTGGCCAAACCAAAGCTGGATTGCGGCGAGAATGAGGAGTACAACGAGTGCGGCACACGTTGTGGTCAGGCCTGCGAAGAGTTGGGTCGACGGGTTGTTTGCTCTAAGAGACGAATCTGTAAATAATATATTTGTTAAGATATAAATTAATTAATTATAACATATAAACAAATTGTAATTCCAAGGCATTAGCGGGTGTTTCTGTGTTGAGGGCTTTTTCAGGTAAACAATCAGTTTTTACAAACAATTTTTATGACATCTTTCATGTGGTCTTATCAGAAACGATGCGGGCGTTTGCGTACCAATGCTGGAGTGCCCGTCCATATCGCCGCCCAAACGGGCGCCGCCCAGTTGTGACGCCAATGAAGACTATAATGAATGCGGCCATCGATGCGGTCAGTCGTGCGAAGACTTCCACAGCAAGAAACAGTGTCCCGCAAAGTGAGTGCTCTTTACTTTCAAACGATTATTACATTAATTAATTGTAAACTACATGTGCAGACAGTCCTGTGTTTCGGGTTGTTTTTGTAATAACGACCACAAACGGGACCACAACGGAGAGTGCGTTTCCGAAGACAGTAATAACATTTCAAATATATAGTATTTCTTATAATAGCGTAAATTCAATGACCAATAACTTTGCCGACAGAGTGTCCGGCGCCTCAAAAGGACGCCAAGAGTGACGTGAAGTGCAGCGCGAATGAGCACTACTCGGACTGCGGCTCGCGTTGCGGTCAGGGATGCGAAGACTTGGCGCACCCGACGCTGTGTCCGAAGAACAAGATGTGTGTTTCCGGCTGTTTCTGTTTGGATGGCTTCCACCGCAACGAAGTTGGAGATTGTGTGCCGCACGACAAGTGTCCGGCCATTCCGACCGACACCACCCGACCCAAGGAGTGCGGAGCCAACGAAGTATTTACCGATTGCGGCACTCATTGCGGCCAAAAGTGCGATGAGTTGGGTCAGGGCGTGTTGTGTCCGCGCAAACGGCTCTGCATTCGGGGCTGTTTTTGTAAGAAAGGCTTCTTCAGGGATGTGAACGACGATTGCGTTCCGCAAAAACAGTGCTCAGAGAAGAAGGAGAAAAAGGAGAAGAAAGCGGACGACAAAAAGGAGGACAAAAATGATGACAAAGACGACGGCGGAGACGATAAGGAAGAGAAGTTAGACGACAGTGAGATCGGGAACGAAAAGGCGGCCCCAACTGCTGCCGCGGCTGAAGAATCGACGACAACAACGGAAACCACAACATCGGCGACGAGTGACGAGACGACGACCACAACCACACCATCGGAAGAGTAATTCCAAAGAGTCTATAGAATTGAATCAATTGTTGTCATAATTATTGTTATTATCCGCTTATCTATTGTTCATTATTTCTATTGTTTTCTGTCATTAGTTTATGTTTAATGTGTTTTTGGAAATTATATTTAAGAAATAAAAATAAATTTTAAATACAGTAATTGTACAGCAAATGTATGATTTAAATGTAATTCGTATCGTTTGTTTGCATTTCAATAATTTTCAAGAAGAGTACAAAAAGAAATGAAACGATCTGTTTGTGGACAGGGATATAGATTATTGAATATAAATATTTATGAATTAGTTAATAGAGGACTCACTTCATACGATCGGAAGTAATTGATAGTAAATAATTTCCAACACGAAAATCCCACTTTTTTCTTAGACATACGTTCAATGAAACCATTTATCTGTCATTTAAAATATTTTTTAAATTGTTATGTTATAAAAATATTCAACTAATATTTAAGCATAATTTTTTAAAAATCATGCTTTAAAAATACATTATTAAAATAACTTATTTATTGATATTACTTCTAATTTTGTTATAATAATCGGTAAATAAAAGACTTTATGCTTATTTAAAGCCGTGGATGCCATCAATGAATTCATGATTTTATACGATTTATTTGCTTCGGAGTTAACCGAAGAAGCGTTTGAAAGAATGAATAAAAATGTTGTTGATATAATCATAAGAAAATAAGCGCCAGATATTGTGAGTAATATATTGTTTGCAAACAAAACAATAAATAAAACTATAATAATAACTGAACCTAGGTTAAACCAAAATGCTAACAAAAACTTAGACCAATATGTATTGTTATAGTCAGCGATCTCATCATATATTGAATAGCATGAGTTAATTGTATATCTGATTAGTTTAGATCTAATTAGAAATTGATTTCCACTTCCGTTAGAAATCATATCTTTATTAAGACCTCGTATTTTAATTCTTAAATAAAAGCACATGATATAAAAATACAATCCTTGATATAAAACAATATTATATAAACTATATGTCCATATCGTAAATATCAACATATTTGGTAGACCAAATACTAATAATTCAAAACTTGTTAAATTAATTCCCAGCGGAGCTATCATTACAAAGAACAGAAGGGATGGCACCAAATATTTGGTCGCAATTTTCATGATTATTAACAATATTTTCGTTCTCTTCAGTAAAGCCATTATATCTGTAATATTCGTGAGACCAACAGATTTAGGAGTAATCAAACCCGACATCATTTTAAATACATCGAGAAAAGTGGGTTTTATGCCATTCTTGTAGTTATAATAATAGATTAATTGTGAACTGAAGCCCAAGAGTGCGAACTGAACGACAGCCACATTATACAAGACTCTACAGCCAACGAAATGGGAAAAATCTGCTAAAACTGTGAACGAATACTCGTATTTGTCGGGTATAGCCATCGCACAAATACTTCTTATCATTTGTATTGCAATAAAAATTATGATAACAATCGGATTATTGATGAGATTTCTTTTGGACATTAAGTGGGGATCAGATGTTAAACATAAACCAATTTTATGCAATTGATTCACTGCTGAATTGATTCTCATATTTTTTGGTAATACTTTGTTTGTATCTATTGCTGACATTTTTACTTAAAGTACAATTTAACAATTGTAAAGAGAGATCAGAATAAATAATAATTAAACAAATACTAATATTAAAGCATAGTATTAAAATGTTTCAGTTTTACGTAATTTCTTATTGCCTGTCAATTAAATACTACTAATTAACAATAAAACAATTAGTCATTTATCGTAATAAAATTATTAAAATATAAGATAATAATTTTATATGGTCGTTAGTTTGTTTATTGTTCACTAGTTAATTAATTATCTCGTTCATTAAGTAAACTTTAAGTTTATTGTAATTATTACATGTTACATATACAGATACTTTACAATTTATTGTATAACTAAAAGAACAACATATTTATAGTTTGGTTTATATGACGTACCGCACACAAGTACAGTAACGTAGAGTAATTAGTAATTACCCGTAGTAAATTTTGTATAATTATTCAGATGGATGTATAAAGTTTTTATATAAAGTTTTTGTACTATAAACTGTATGATATAAAGAATGTAACAATGTAACATAACATTATCATAAAATTATATTTTTACTTTTACGGACATTTAGTATTCTATTAATGTTAATATAAGTTAATGAATAATATATTATTTCGTCATATTTAGTCAAATAAGACTTAAATGTATAATTAAATAAAAGTAGGGTATTTAAATAATTTAAAAGACCAAAATTTAGTTGTGCTGTATAGTGCGAACAATAAACGTATAATGTAATTATTAGCAATTTTCTAATATTAATTAAATATTACAGGTTATCTCCAATTTAAGAGACACCGATTTAAGGGGAATTCGATTTAAGGGAGGGTTTTTTGCTGCACCGAACGCTCCTATGGGTGATTAACATTACACAATCCGATATAAAGGGAATTTGATTAAAATATATGTTAATCAATACTAACACACAATCCTTTCTTCGGACAAATGGTTGATTTAAACAAATCGCTACACATTTGTCCGCAACGAGTGCCGCACTCCGAGTATATCTCTCCGTCTTCGCACTTGAGCTTTATTTTGATCTTAACTCTCAGACTTTCTGTCACTTCCTCCTCATAGTCGGGACATCTCTGGAGTTATTGGAAATAAAATAACATTATATGGTTGTAATTATAGTTGTAATTAGGATTAAGAAAAATGTATATATATAACCTTTTCGGGCACACAATCGCCATTTTCCTTGTCTCTGTAATAGCCTTTATCACAAAAGCATCCCTTATCTGGTATTTTATAAAATAAATTGAAATCATTGTACAAAAAGTGTTAATACAAGCGCTGAAGTCGTACCGCATTGGGCGTCGCAAGAGTCGGGCGGTTTGCAGAGCTCTATGCAATGATCGCCACAATCCTCGTAGTGTTCATTTTCTTTACAGTCGGCGTCTTTAGAGCGCGGGGTAGTTGTGGCCAACTGTTTAAAGTCGGGTACTTTTGGTATGCATTTTGAAAGGGGAACGCAATCGCCGTCAGTCGTCCGATAGAAGCCTCCCCTACAGAAACATCCCGTTTCACAACTCTGTCGGTTCGGACACATCAAGTGTTTCGACAACTCTAGACATGAGTGACATTTGGGTCGACCGCACGTCGAGTACTCCTCGTTCTTCTTCTTGCAGGCATTTGGTCCCACTTTCCCGTCCGAAGGACTCTTTTTCATACGATTCGGACATTTCTGCGACATATCATTCAGACACATGTTAGAAATAATTGTATCGAAATATAATACATATGCATAGGAGATGTGGTCATACCTCTGCGGGAACACAAACTCCTTTCTCATTTCGATAGAAATATCGTTTGCAAAAACAGCCGGATTTGCACTTTCTTTTGCACGATTCCGGGGGTTTACACAACTCTATGCAATAGTCACCGCACGGATAATATTCCTCGTTGTCATCACAATCGGGCACTTCGTTGTCATCTTTGGCCGATTTAGGAGACTTGGGATCTTTGGATGGCGCCGGACACTCATCTTCTGGTACACACGAGCCATCCTTGTCCTTCACGTGACCCTCTTTGCAGAAACAGCCAGTGATGCAGGCCTTACGCCGCGGACACATCATCTTTGCCGTCACTTCAGCGCAACTCTGGATACAATTCTTGCGACATTTGGACCGTTTTAGCGGACTCTTACACTTTTCTGGATCTCCATTGTCGTGATCCACAAGTGCTGGACATCCTATATATGCAATGGATATGCAAAATGTTAAAAGCAATAAATGATGATAAATAATAACACTCAACCAATTTCTGGCACACATTCTCCGGCCTTATTTCGAAAGTATTTATCCTTACAAAAGCATCCGGACTGACATTCGTACGGACAGATCTAGATGTTTAAATAGTTCAACAAATATTGTATAAACTGTGTATTGAAATGCAATATAATGTGTCTTACGGCTGGTGGAGTACAAAGATCGGCGCAATGATTGCCGCACTCTTTATAAATCTCGTATTTTTTACACTTTTTGGGCTTTTTGTTAGAGTCGGCCGAATCGCACTCGTCTTCGGGCACGCATTTACCCTTTTTGTTGCGATAGTAACCCTCAACACAGAAACAGCCCCTAAATTAATACCAATTTCATAAAAACATTGTGACAATTGAACGACAATACAGTGAATTACTTGATGCATATCTTTCTTCGCGGACACACGAACTCCTTCTTGAGTGAACTGCAAGACTGTCCACAGAGACTGCCACAGGGTTTGAACACTTCATGGGCTTTGCACTCGCTTTGTAGCTTTGGTTTAGGAGTAGTTTCGGGATCTATTGCCGGACAATAAACCCCTTTTTTAAATGTCTTGGACTTTAGGCCGTCTTTCACGCATTTCTTATCGTCATCCCTAAAGTAATCCGGTTTTTTACAATAACAGCCAGGTTTGCATTTGGCCGCACATTCTGTACCATTCAATACATGTCAACAGTTAGTATTCAAACAAATTTAGTATTCATTGAATACAAACCTGTGGGCGGATCGCAGAGTTCGACGCAAGTGTTGCCACACATATCAAACTCCTCGTTCTTAGCGCAGAAACCAGCCTTTGAGCAGTCTTTCTGTATATAATCATAACAACAATTATAATTATATGTTTGCAATCACTCTTTAATGTTTAAATCATACCTTAGGCACACAAACACCCTGGATGTTGCGACCATAGCCAGATTTGCAAAAGCACCCTGCTGAACACTTTTCAGCATTTGTACATTTGGTTACACCGCATCTCTCGGCGCATC